AACACACATACAACATATACGAAATTTTTCTACACAAGTATTTATTCAATCAAAGCTAAAGTTGGATTTACTTACCTTGAATCTGAGCAATTCCAACACTATAATCTCTCTTTGGTAGAATTCCCCTACCTCTTAACCCTAAGCATGTAAAATCATAAGAATTCAAAACTTTAAATTTAATCTCACATCTTGGTGCAAGAATCTTACCTTTGAATGCTTAGGATTGAAAATCTATCAAAATTTAGCCAAAATCCTATGAATTTCCTTGGAAATTTAGTGAAGAAATTTGAGAGAATTTGGGGTGAAGGTGGCATGAACAATGGGTAGAGTGGCTAGGGTTTCAACTCTTGAACTCTTATTACTACATAATAACATATATAGTTTCCCATTTTACCCTTGCACTTTCTAAAAATTTCACCTATATCCTTTAGTCAATTGTACTTCTTATTTTTATTAACTTCTCCATGTTATTCTACTTCTTTTCATTCCCCACTCTCTCATCTAATTATGAGTGGAATGACCATTTTACCCCTAATAACATTTTAAAGAATTTCCTTCTCATTTGTTCAAGATAACTTTAACAAAATTCAACTAAAGGTATTAGGGTATAAATAAAGTTACGTACCTTGATGTGAGCGTTACACTAATTCTATGGAATCCTTAGAATATATATAATTTCATAATGTAGAAAAACTTCAAGCAACACTATATCACCAGAATCTGTAAAAATTCTTAATTGTGCATTTTTCCTATTAAACTCCACAAGAACCACATCAAATACAAAACAATTGAGTGATAACATCAGATATACTTATATTTGAACAGTTTTAATTTAGTGCTTAATCTAAAACCTGAAGCTGATAAGTATCCCAATATAGAACAAATATGATCAGCATAAAAACACAAATAAGTTGGGCCTGTTTAGTAGGTTATTTGAAAAATGATATTCTGAAAAACTATTTTAAGTTGAGTTGAGTTCGATTAAATCAAATAGGATAGAATTATGAGAATGTATTTGGTATAATATCTGACAATTATATTGGATAAAAATGTTGAAAAGTTGTTTGGTACATTTTTTTTTAAAACATTTTCTGAAAATATTTAGATTATTTTTAACCCCCTACATTTGTTAATTTACTAAACACCCCACAATAAAAGTTTAAAAATTAACAAAGACATCCCCACCCACCCAAGCCACTGCCGGATGCTAGCCGACAATCCCCAGAAAGGCGCACGACCGACTAGTCATGTGCAGATCTAGCCTTTTCTGGCCAGATCTACGGCCAAAATCTGGTCGTCGTTAATGGCCAAAATCTTGTTGTCATCAACAGCCAAATAGATTTGGCTGTCGCACGACCAGCCAGATCCGGCCAATCATGCATCATTCCAATGATGGCCGTCGGCGGTAGCGACGACAACGAATGGTCGGCGGTGGTTTCTGGCAGGCGGTAGTGGTCTTGGGTGGATTAATTTTCAGATTGGAATGTGTGAAAGATAATTTTTTTTAGTTGAATAGGGTTAGAAAAATGTTTTGAGTTGAATAGAATAGGATAATAGAAATCAAGTTCCCCCCTCTTTTCATTTTCAATAGAAAAAATCTTATTTGATTCGGATTAATTTTGAGAATAATGATTCCAATAAGTAAACAAACACATATTCTCTTTTTTAATCTAAATAGGATAACAGAAAAATGATAGTGAAACAAACAAAAGCTTAATAATTTAGTTTTTTTTTAGTCTATAAATCCCTGCACTTGCTTTGTAAGCTTGAGCTTGAAGCCAGAGTTCCTATCGGACCATGTCGTCATTGAGATATAGTTCAATACCACTTTTAGCCATGCAAGTGCCTATGAGGGGTCAAATATGACTTTTGACCATGCAAATAAGCCCTCATGGGTAATAATTTAGATATCATATAGGGGGCGTTTGGATCATATAATGTTTTATTATAGGGGGATATTATATTAACGGAATAAAAAATCACCTTGAAGATTACTGGGAATGTTTAGAAAATGTGTTTAATCGGTTCGAATAAATTGGTGAATAATATGTTTGGTTGGGAGGATAAATGGGTGGGTATGTTATGTAGATTACTAAATTGCCCTCCTTTTTAAATATTAATATAACATTATTTTTTATTATTACTTTTTGAATAATTTTTTTTAACCCCCTACTTTTTAGATTTAGCAAAAACACCATAGTAACCAAAAACATTTTAAACTTAACAAAAACACCCCTACCCACCCCAAGCCATTGTCGGCAACCAGCCACCACCATTGGCAATGCCACAAATCTGGCCATGACGCTGGCCGTGCCACAAATCTGGTCGTTTCACGGCTACAGATCTGGTTGTTTCACGGCCAGATCAGTCGTCATTTCACGGCCACATCCTTGGCCGTGAAACAGCTAGATTTGGCTTTTTTTTTAACATGGATCACATATCCATGGTAGGAAAAAGCCTCACCGGCGCACGGCCAGTCGTACGCCATTATGACAACTTTTGGCAACCTCTGGCGGCTGTCGATGGTGGCTGCCAATGATGGTTAGTTCTGGGTATAATGACATTTATGTAAATAATGACAATAACAAGGACAATGTCGTCCAAAAAATTTAAAAAGTGAGGACAAAAGTGTCTGCATGAGTGATTGGGTGTTTTGTAAATATTAACAAATATATGGTTAATTTGGACCAAATGCTCAACTGTTTAGGGGCAATATGGGAAAAAACTTGTAATACTAAGGTAAGTTTTAATAACAGCACCCCCCACCCCCCCCCCAGGTATTAAGATTACCGGAAATATACCCCCCAAAAGCAACTGTTTGTCATAAAAATTCCGAGAATAATTTTGTACAAACCAACAAACATCGTCATTTGCTCAGTTTAAAAAAATTATCCCAGTTATCTAATATTAACCTGATCCAAACGACCCCATAGTTCGTTAATTAGAACCACTTGATCAATTGAATTAGGCTAACAATTGTAGCAAAAGCTTAAGATTAATACCCAAAAGTAAAATATCTACAAGGAAAGAAGAGTAATTAGCATGATATGATCTAGGCAGCTCATTACATAAATCTATTAATAAATGGTTTTAAATAAACATATGTTTGCGTCTATAACATTTGGCTTACATTAAGAACCCAATTAATTATCTTATGGATTCCCACCTCTGAATCTATCACACTAAATCTTTTAAAAACATTTTAATATCTAATAAACCATCCTTATTTCCAAAATATTTTTTGTTAAGTTATCTCCTTATAGAGTTACAATAGATGTAGAACAAAAGATTTAATACTATAAGAACATATATAATTTCTTATATAAAATATATATGATGGGTAAATTAATTTCTTTCTTTTTCTTGTGTAGTAATTTCTGTAAAAGAATGAAATAAACATAAAACATAATTCAAACTTAATAAGATAATAAGTGGGGTAATAACATCACTCTATTATATGTATCATATTATATAATTGACCACGAACAACTTTTCCATGAAAACTAAATTTTGAAAAACTTAACCAAATAGAAATTGACTTTTATAGGTCATTTGGTATGACTTAGTAGAGTAGAACTTATTAACGTAGAGGTTATGAAAATATAGGTTTGTTAAGTATTTGTTAATTGTTTTGTTAGAAAAATGTAAAAGAGTTTCTATTATTAATTTACCAAAAAGGACTTTAATTAAGTTGAACTTATAAAATGGAATAGAGATATTTTTGAAAGTTAAACACTTTAAATAAGCTCGAAATAGTTTATGAGAGAAGTTCTCAATCGAGATACAACCAAACAAATTATTATTATTATTTAAGCCTTTATGATTTTAAATAAACGATTTTGACATAAACCCAACTAAACTGACTATTAATAACTTGAAAGCTCTTCTTGAGTTACTACCGATCAGCAAAAAAAAAAAAAAAATATATATATATATATATAAACCTTTATCAATAAAAGCTTTCAATCAAAAGTTAATTATAAAAAAAAAAATGGTAATAAGTTTTGGTTGCTTAATAGTGTGATAAGTCTTGAGATTACTAGATTAGCGAGTTATGTGATGATTTTATGAAACATAAGGGGAGAAATAGATAATTTCAAATAAATTGGGGTCTCAAGAATATTTTAAACCTCAGGGGAGGATAGTAATACACCAAAGTCTCGTTCATACGTTAACCATTCTCACAAAAGTAATGCTACATTTACATCATTCATTACACCATGATCATTTTACTAATAATTATTTTATTATAATATTAAAAATTCAAATCACATCCACACAAATTTTTAATTATTTTGAATTTTTAATATTATAATAAAATAATTATTAGTAAAATGGTCATGGTGTAACGAAAATAGTGTAATGGGTGGTGTAAATGTAATATTACTCTTCTCGTATACCCTTCTTTAGATCTCATGTCATTTTCAAACACCACGTGGCACTTCAATTACTCTTATTAATCAAACAATAATACTAACCTCATTAACCCCTCTCACTAACTCCTCTCACTAATCTCATGTGGGAGTTTGTGATTAGCTTGATTAGGTGAGATTTATTATTGGACAGGCGGGATCCATGTGAACTGATGAATTGTAAACTGACATGTGGCATTAGTAAAAGAAAGTTAGTGAGAAGTATTAGTGAGTGTAATGTTACTCTTGATCAAAATAATTTCTTAAACGGTCAAATACTAACAGTCTAACGTGAACATTGAACAATGAACAGGGAGGGAGGTAAGTGATGATTTTATGAAATATGAGGCCAGAAAGGGAATACTTTTAATCTATTTGGGGTCTTATGATAGTTTTTTAACCTCTGGGAGGTTTGGGAATAGACCAGAGTCTCTTATAAACAATTGATTAAACATTGATTATTCTCATCAGACGCCACTTTGATCACACCTTATTTTTATACGCCACGTGGCACTTCAATCCTGATCGAACGGTACAAATGCCTCCCAACACGTGATCGTTTCAAACAAAAAAAAGCCAAAACCCCAAACTCTCAAATGTTTCAAATCCCCCCCTCTCTCTCTCACTCTCCCCCATCACTCTCTCTGTTTCCACCGCCGAAAATGCTCCCGCCGGAGCTCAATCCCCGCGCTTCTTTCCGGCCGTACATCTCAGCCTCCATCAGTGCCCCTTCCTTCTCCTCCTCCTTCGACGGCGGCTCCTCCTCCTCCTCCTCCCTTTACTCAAACCCTAACCCTAACGATTCCTATACCAGCAATGTCACCAACCGATCTCTCAAGAACTCGCGCTTCTCGCCTACTTCATTCGCCCACAACGGTCGTATCGCCCTTGCTTTGGTCCCATGCGGTGCGTTTTTGCTCGATTTGGGTGGGACCCCGGTCGTCGCAACCCTAACCTTAGGTTTAATGATCTCTTACATAATAGATTCACTTAACTTCAAATCTGGTGCCTTTTTTGGCGTTTGGNGTTACTACCGATCAGCAAAAAAAAAAAAAAAAAATATATATATATATATATATAAACCTTTATCAATAAAAGCTTTCAATCAAAAGTTAATTATAAAAAAAAAAATGGTAATAAGTTTTGGTTGCTTAATAGTGTGATAAGTCTTGAGATTACTAGATTAGCGAGTTATGTGATGATTTTATGAAACATAAGGGGAGAAATAGATAATTTCAAATAAATTGGGGTCTCAAGAATATTTTAAACCTCAGGGGAGGATAGTAATACACCAAAGTCTCGTTCATACGTTAACCATTCTCACAAAAGTAATGCTACATTTACATCATTCATTACACCATGATCATTTTACTAATAATTATTTTATTATAATATTAAAAATTCAAATCACATCCACACAAATTTTTAATTATTTTGAATTTTTAATATTATAATAAAATAATTATTAGTAAAATGGTCATGGTGTAACGAAAATAGTGTAATGGGTGGTGTAAATGTAATATTACTCTTCTCGTATACCCTTCTTTAGATCTCATGTCATTTTCAAACACCACGTGGCACTTCAATTACTCTTATTAATCAAACAATAATACTAACCTCATTAACCCCTCTCACTAACTCCTCTCACTAATCTCATGTGGGAGTTTGTGATTAGCTTGATTAGGTGAGATTTATTATTGGACAGGCGGGATCCATGTGAACTGATGAATTGTAAACTGACATGTGGCATTAGTAAAAGAAAGTTAGTGAGAAGTATTAGTGAGTGTAATGTTACTCTTGATCAAAATAATTTCTTAAACGGTCAAATACTAACAGTCTAACGTGAACATTGAACAATGAACAGGGAGGGAGGTAAGTGATGATTTTATGAAATATGAGGCCAGAAAGGGAATACTTTTAATCTATTTGGGGTCTTATGATAGTTTTTTAACCTCTGGGAGGTTTGGGAATAGACCAGAGTCTCTTATAAACAATTGATTAAACATTGATTATTCTCATCAGACGCCACTTTGATCACACCTTATTTTTATACGCCACGTGGCACTTCAATCCTGATCGAACGGTACAAATGCCTCCCAACACGTGATCGTTTCAAACAAAAAAAAGCCAAAACCCCAAACTCTCAAATGTTTCAAATCCCCCCCTCTCTCTCTCACTCTCCCCCATCACTCTCTCTGTTTCCACCGCCGAAAATGCTCCCGCCGGAGCTCAATCCCCGCGCTTCTTTCCGGCCGTACATCTCAGCCTCCATCAGTGCCCCTTCCTTCTCCTCCTCCTTCGACGGCGGCTCCTCCTCCTCCTCCTCCCTTTACTCAAACCCTAACCCTAACGATTCCTATACCAGCAATGTCACCAACCGATCTCTCAAGAACTCGCGCTTCTCGCCTACTTCATTCGCCCACAACGGTCGTATCGCCCTTGCTTTGGTCCCATGCGGTGCGTTTTTGCTCGATTTGGGTGGGACCCCGGTCGTCGCAACCCTAACCTTAGGTTTAATGATCTCTTACATAATAGATTCACTTAACTTCAAATCTGGTGCGTTTTTCGGCGTTTGGTCGTCGCTAATCGCCGCTCAGATCGCTTTCTTCTTCAGCTCGTCGCTCTTCGTGACGTTCAATTCGATCCCTTTGGGTATCTTCGCTCTCTTGTTGTGCGCTCAGACTAATTTCTTGATCGGCACTTGGGCTTCGCTTCAGTTTAAGTGGATTCAAATTGAGAACCCTTCTATTGTTCTTGCTCTCGAGAGGGTTTTGTTCGCGTGTTTGCCGTTCACTTCGTCGGTGATTTTCACGTGGGCGACGGTTTCGGCTGTGGGTATGAACAATGCGGCTTATTATCTTATGATTTTTAATTGTGTTTTTTATTGGCTGTATTCGATTCCTCGTGTTTCGAGTTTTAAATTGAAGCAAGAAGTTAAGTATCATGGTGGGGAGATTCCTGACGGTAATTTAATACTTGGGCAGCTTGAAAGTTGTGTTCATACGTTGAATTTGTTGTTCTTTCCTTTGATGTTTCACATTGCCTCGCATTACTCGGTTGCGTTTTCGTCGGGTGCTGCAGTTTGTGATTTGTTTTTGCTGTTCTTTATTCCGTTTTTGTTTCAACTGTATGCGTCTACAAGAGGCGCTCTCTGGTGGGTTACGAAGAATGGGAATCAACTGCAGAGTATTCGTGTGGCTAATGGGGCTGTTGCTTTGGTAGTGGTGGTTATTTGTTTGGAGATTCGGGTGGTTTTTCTCTCATTTGGGAAGTACATTCAGGTTCCACCACCATTGAATTATCTTCTTGTGACTGTTACCATGCTCGGAGGGGCTGCTGGAGCTGGTGCTTATGCACTTGGTATGATTTCTGATGCATTTAGCTCTTTGGCGTTTACTGCTTTGGCTGTAGTAGTTAGTGCTGCTGGCGCAATTGTTGTGGGACTCCCAATATGGGTACGCTTCTTCCTGTATAGAAATGTATTTCAATTGATATGTTTTTTCTCAACTCGTGTGTACAATCATGACATGTGAATATTATGATATGCTTCTACTGCTGTCTCTTGACATTTATAATTTATAAGTCATGCAATTCATTTTTGAAAGTTAGGAATGGTATGTAATCTTATTTTATTGAGTAGTGGAAATTTGTATAATATAATACCAATTCAGTGAAGTCAAACATCATGAATGTTGTTTGTGGCATCCTTG